GTGTCCTGTTGTCTGTCTGTCTCTCTCTCTCTATTTTTCAGATAGGGCCTTACCATGTACTCAAATCTGGCCTTGAACTCACTATGTAGCCCAGGCTGGCTTTCAACTCGCAGGTATCCTGTCTCAGCCTTCCCAGTGCTGGGCTCACAGGCCCGACCATCTAACCCTATAAGCACAGGATTAATTTCAATGCAGGTGTGAGGCACCAAGCTCACCCGTGACTCAGGACTTTGGGGGTTTTGGTCCAAAGTTCCCGAGAACCAACCACCCTTCCCCAGACTGTGGCCCACCATGGAAAGGTGAAGCAGTCCGTCCTGGTCATCTGAGGAGGAGGAAGAGCCCTAAGGTTGGGCTCAAGGATGCTCCTTCGCTGATAACGGAGCAACGTTGGCTGAAAATGTATTTAATACCTGGGTGTGGTGGCACGTGCCTCTCATCTCAGCACCCTGGAGGCGGAGGCGGAGGATCGCCTGGAGTTCAGGGCCAGCCTGGACTCCATAGTGAGACCCTGTCTCAAAAAGCAAAACAAAACAAAAACAAACCCCAAAGAAACAAGAAAACGCAAGGTGCCCAGCGAGGTTTGACCATGCGGCCGATCCTGCATCCTGTCTGGCATAGACGCATTCCACAGAGCCACAGCATCGCCCAGGTACTGCACCTTGATCTGAGCTCCAATGAACCGCCCGACACAGTGGCCTTGCTCTAAGGGTCTGCTCAGCCAGCAGGCTCAGATTCTTCTTTTTGGTACTGGAGGCTGCACTCAGGACCTTGGCTCTGAATCGCATGCCATCCCCATCACTTTTGTACATTTTTTTTTTATTTTGAGGCAAGCTCTCACTAAGTTTTTCAGGCTGGCTGGAACTTTCGATCCTCCTGCCTCAGCCTTCCAGAGAGCAGAGATGACAGGCAGGCCCCACCATGCTGAGTGAAGCTCAGGCATTTTGAGGGGCTTGAAAACCCCCTTTGACCTCAAGCCATGACCTTGACCCACTCACTCCTTCGGTGCTTCCAGCTCTTGCACTGTGCCCATGTGTTATGGATCAGAGTGCTTTGGCCTGCCCATGCCGCCCCTGTGTGGGCAGAGCCCGGAGCCGGCACTTGCTTTGTCCTAAAGCCAGGCAGGAGTCCGGAGGTGTCCTTGTCTGCTGCCCTTCTGCCACAGCCTCCTCTGTGCATGCCATGTGCTTGGCCCCGGATGCACCTCCCCAACCCTGACCTGGATTCTGTGGCCTTCGGTGAGGGGCCACTGGAGCCCTCCCCTGGCCGGGGGCTCAGCAACCCTTCCTGGCACCTGGTGTCCTCACGGAGGTGGCTCTAGATGTCAGCTGGTGCAAGGTGGTAGGGGGCCCTTGAGGCAGCCCTCTATAAATGCCACAAGCAGGGCCAGCAGTGTCACCTGGTGTCCCCACTGGAGTGGCTAGAGAAGAAAGGACCATAGCCTGCAGCCCCAAACTCACTCTGTAGCCCAGGCTGGCCTCAAACTCATGGCAGTCCTCTTTGCTTCAGCCTCCTCAGTGCTAGGATGACAGGTGTGTGCCCATGCTTGGCTAAGATGCCCAGGCCTTGGGAGGACTCTGCCCTGGCATCTGGAGAACCTGGGCCTTGTCTCACAGGTGGTGGAGACCTGAGTGGCAGGGAAGGGAAGGTCACCCTGCACTGCGGTGGACAGAGCTTGGCCACACTGGGGGCTGCCGATGCTCTTCAGCCCAGCCTTCCAGGCAGGCTGGGGCTTGTACCCTCCACATCTGGGGACACTGCCCGATGCCCTTGCAGCTCTGGGCCTGCCATGCCCCCTGGTGGCCGAGGTTGGTGCAAGCCCTAGGGCCGTGACTGGGGACACAGGCAGATGAAGGCACTAGGATATGCACTTCTGGGTTGTGGGTCGTAGCAACACTTCTGAGCAGTCTGTGCTTAACCCTTTAGGGTTGAGAACCCTGTAACTGCTCGGTGTGGTGGTGCACACCTGTGATCCCAGTACTCGGGAGGCTGAGGCAGGAGGATTGCCAGCCTGACTACACAGTGAGACCCTGTCTGAAAAAAAAAGTTCCAGCCCAGTCTGGGCAAGTGAGATCCTGTCTCAAACTCAAAAGGGCTGGGGATGTAGCTCAGTGTGAAGGCCTTGGGTTCCAGCCCAGCACCATAAAAAGAAAGAAAAAGAAGAATGACTTTTTATAGCAGCTGTAATATTGGAAGTATTGTAGTTTTTATAAAATGTGGCTCTAAGTGTCTGTCTGGCTATTTTCTGGTCCTTGAAAAAGTATCCAAGGTATAGAAGCACTGAGGGCACTGAATTCCTGTGGAAATTCATCTTTTCCTTTCCCAACCAACACCCTTGGCCTCTCACTATATGAGCATGAATTTAGGGTGAAAAAAGAAACTTTGTAACTGGTGAACAATCCTCAACTCCCTTCTTGGGGACCCGAGGAGCAGTAGGGAGGGGACCAGGGTCTGCAGCTATGAGCGCCCTGTCCCTGTCCCCAGTGGGGAGGGTGCCCTGCACCTGTCAGACCTCAGTGGCACCGCAACCTGCAGCGTCCAGCTCTGAGGTCACAGGAGACAGGCAGGGGACAAGGTTAAATCAAAGAAGCAACGCTATGGAGCCGATGTCTACCTCTACCTAAATTGCTTTGACACAGGCTCTCACTCTGTAGCTCAGGCTGGCCTTGAGCTCCTGGTGATCCTCCTGCCTCAGCCTTCTGAGTGCTGAGATCACAGGCATGCAGCACTGCACCGGCTAAGGTCCTGCCTCTTTACCCAGCTGCCCTGGGTATGGCACTACTTGCTCTGCCCATGTGGGGTGCAGTTGCCCTTCTGGGCACAGGTGCCCCCCCGGGGGGGCTCCTCCCCCTCTGAGTTTCCTTCCTGCGCTTGGCTGGCTTGCCACCCTGAGGGCCTGGCCCAAATGGTGCCTCCCAACACGTGTTCTCCTGCCACCTGGGCCACTTCCCAGAACGCAATGGTCACACACCTGTCAGCAGACTTGTGTGACCTGCACATCCCCTCTCCTTTCTTACACTTGAGACAGTGTCTCATTAAATTGCCCAGACTGGGCTTGAACGAGCTTGAGATCCTCCTGCCTCAGCCTCCTATAACACTGGGATCATAGATATGTACCACGCCTGGCTTCCCCCACCCCAAACTGTTATGTTAAAATTTATCCCCCCTGCCAAGGGCTGGGGATTTAGCTCAGTGGCACTGCTCCTGCCTTGCAAACACAAGGCCCTGAGTTCAATCCCCAGAACCAAAGGAAAAAAAAAATTATCCCCCCCAAAGGTTTCCAATATTGGGGTAGTAGGAGATGGGGCCTTAGGTGATTAGTCCTGAGGCAGAGTCCTTGTGAGTGGGATTAATGTCTTTATGAAGGAGGCCCCAGGCCAGGTATGGTGGTGAACTCCTATAATCCCAACTCCTTGGGAGGCTGAAGCAGGAAGATCTCAAGTTTGAGGCCATCCTGGGTAGTTTAGTGAGACCTTCTCAAAAAATAAAAGGAGTTGACGATGTAGCTCAATGCAAAGGCCCCAGGTTCAACCCCCAGGAGCACAAAAACAAAAAAAGGGCTGGGCATGTGGGTCAGTGCTAGAGCACCCGGGGTTTGATCCCCACTACGGCCAAAATAGATAAAAGGATAAAAAGAATCGGGGCCCTCTACCACAAGAGGACAGAGTCGACACCATCCATGAACTAGACAATAGACCCTCCTGCCTGTCATCCCAGCACTCAAGAGGCAAGAGAAGCAGAGTTTGATGCCTACCTGGGCTACATAGCGAGATTCTGTCTCAAAGAAAAAATGAAAATGAAAGGCAGTATAGGTCCTCCCAAGGCACTTGGATCAGCTGGCACCTCCTGTGGGTGGGAGCCCAGCTCTGTGAGGTGGGATTTCTATGGGGCCCTGGGGACACCAGGGGGCGCTGCAGGGCCCTGGGAGCGCTGGCTCTCTCCAGCACAGGCTCCCTCAGGCCTGGGGCACAGGACACAGCTGATTGCGAAGTGTGACCTGGGTAACGCTGTGTGGCCCTCCCATACCTTGTGTTCTCAGTCCCTGTGCACTGGGGGCCCATGCCTCTCTCCGGCCTCTGTGTGCCTCATCCACACGCACTCCAGCTGCGAGCTCAGGACAAGGTCCCCATGTGGGGCGTGTGCTGTGTGAGGCACTCAAGGACAGGCCCTGGCCTGTGTGGAGGGAAGGACAGCCAAGCTGAGGGGACCAGGAGGGCCCCCTCCAGGGGAAAAGCACCTGAAATGGGCATGGTGGCACAGGCCGGTCATCCCAGCACTCAGGAGGCTGAGGCAGGAGGATCCCCAGAGTTCAAGGCCAGCCTGGACTGCACAGTCAGACCCTGGCTCAAACCAAACAAAAAATAAATGGAGAACCCAAAGCCGCTATCCGCAGAGGCACCCGGAAGTGGTGTATACTTTTCTGCGGTACTAGGGATTAAGCCAAGGGTCTGTGCCCTCAGCTACGCCCCAGAAAGTTTTTCTTTTGTTGAGACAGGGTCTCGCTAAGCTGCTCAGGCTGGACTTGATCTCGTGATGCTCCTGCCTCGGCCTCCTACAGGCGTGTGCCCTTGTCCCAGCCTGGCCCATGCTCTCTAAGAGCAGAGACCAGAGTGGACAGGGTCTGGAGGGTGGCAGAAGGAGACAAACACTAAGGGCTACACCAAGGCCTCCCGCTGGGCAGCACTGGGCACAGGAACCCTAACAACCAGAGGAGACTCCTTTCCATCCGAAGCCAGCAGATGGCAGCTTTCCATCTCCAAGCCCCATTAGTTTCCCTTGTGGTACTGGGCATGGAACCCAGGGAGTGCTGAGCTACACCCCGGCCCCTTTCATTTTTCATCTGAAAAGAGGGTCTTGCTAAGTTGCCCAGGCTGGGCTTGAGACCTTCCTGCCTCAGCCTCCTGAGGAGCTGGGTGACGGAGGTGCTACACAGCAGCTGTGCAGGAGGTGAGGCTGCCTCTAGGACGGCGCAGAAGGGCAGACAAGAAACAAAGACAGACGAGTGCCGGCTCCTGTCTATTACTTTACTTAGAATATATAGGAAAAGACAACCACAAACAGGAAGCTACTTCTACGGTTATCTCTGAAATAGGTTTCGTATTTACAATTCATTCCTGATTAAAAGCACCAGCTGGAAAATTACAGGCCACTAATAAAACAGTACAAACCATTAAAAGGCTCCGTGCTGACTCGTGGACACTGACCCGACGGCCCACCTCCTGCCTGCACTCGCCATCCGGGGCTCAGCCTCAGCGCAGGGCAGCCGGGTGCCCTGTTCCCCGCCTGGCCCAGGCAGGGCGGTGACCACAATCTCCTCTTTGCTGGCACTGGCTGGGAAGGAGCTGGGGCGCCGGCTGCAGGAAGGGGGTGTCCCACACCCGGCGTGTGACAGGAGCGTGTGGTAGAGGGCAGGCGGGGGAAGCTGCACATGGACGCAAACGCACTCACTCATGCGATTTGGCTGCTGTGACGGGAGGGGAGTAGTAAATATGGAGCTCTGGATTTTATACTTGTAAACATGAGATCTCATCCATAACTGCACACAGACATGACGGGGTAGAGCTAGAAGCACATTAGCACGGAGATGGGTGTTATGTTTGAGGTTCTTGCTGAGGTTCTTACTCCCACTCTACACACGAATATGCTGGAAGCGGAGAGGGTTAAATAAATAGGCCGGACAGACACGGTGGCCACCGTGATCCTGGGGTGCGGGTCTGGAGGGTCAGGGTGGGCAGGAGGGCTCACGGAGATGAGGGGACCCAGGCTCCTCACACACTGGGGGCACTCTGCAGGGCTGCGCTAGGGAACAGGACACGCTAGGCCTGCTGCTCTGACCTGGCCGGCAGCTGATACCTCCAGCGCCAGCTCCGCACTGCAGCACCTCCCAGTGAGTCCCGGATGAGCCCAACCTGAGTGCTGCTGTCTGGGGTGGCTCAGAAGTGTCAGGTGGCGGTGCTGTCCCCAGAGAAGTGGCAGGTGGCATCATCTCACTCCTGAGGTGGCTGTGGCTGTGGCACAGCCTTCGCTGTGGGCCAGGGTCTCAAGGGTGGGCAGGCCCTCCTCTCCCTGCGCCTGGCCTCTGCAGGGCCAACACCCATGCAGCTCTTGGCCTTGCTCCCCGAATCTGTGCCACACACACACACGAACATACGCCCCATGGCGGGGTGGTGACTCCAGTCAAGGGAAGGCATCTGGAAGCTGCAGTCCTACGTCTGACGCTGGAGAGAGGCGAGCTAGAGGAGCTGAGGCTGTGCCCTGTGCCACATGTGGGCCACTGCCTTGGGCAAGCAGGAGACACTGTCAGGTGCAGGCACATAGGCCAGGGGCTGGCCAGGCCCCCGCGGCATGACGCAGCCTAGGTGGGCCACAGCAGTCCTCTAGGGGGTGGCTCTGGATGTGGCCCCGTGCTCCACCTGCGGCCTCGGTGCCAGGTCCTGGTGTGAGGTGGGACTGGGCTGTGCCCTTTGTGAGGACAGGAGCTGTTCTGACGCCAGGACTCAGAAGCCGAAGACGTCAGGGACAAAGCCCGGGGACCACCCACGGAAGCACATTGGCAGATCCAGACTCGGCTCACAGCAGGCTGGCCAGGCTGGTGTTGGGCCCGTTCTGCGCCTGGAACTGCACAGGGGGCGGGCCGTCTGTCCACTGCAGGAGAGGGGCACAGTGAGGACACCCTGCGGGGACCGCTGGGGACCTGCGTCTGCTGTCCCCACCCCCTGCCCTGGACGCACCGTGATGAGGTTGTGCTCCGGGAGGCTGCAGGCCTCGATGTGGTCCTGGAGCAGCTGCTGCGAGAAGTTTTGGTGCATCTGGGCAGCCTCGTGGGCGTCGATGGCGTTGCCACAGGCCTTGTTCAGGTCTGAGGGGGACGAGGTCCAGCCTGCTCTGTCTCTGCCAGACAGCAGGGCCCTGCGCCAGCCGCGCTCAGGGACAGGGACGTCGTGCTGCTCATCAGCCTGTGCCTCCCTCCCCACCCCAGGAGTCTTGTGCCCAATCCTGCAGTCACACTGCCCTGCACCCGGGACACCCAGCTGGTCTGGTCCAACAGGGACAACTGCATCCCGGGGGCGAGTGGCTGGAAGTGGCAGAGGACTAGGAGCCGGACCACGGCCTTGGCCTTCAGACTCCTCGTGGGTCACGGGAGATGGGACAGGGTCCCTGGCGAGGCCCCCTGCCTGGGACAGATGGTGACCCTGCACGCACCTCTCAGCAGAGCTGACGACCAGAGCTGCACTGACATGTCCGGGATCTTGCTGGCCAGCTGCATGGCAGGCACCACCATGTTGTTACTCTCCTGCCAACCAAGAGCAGTGGGGCACTGAGGGGCTGCAGCAGGAAGACCAGGGCCCCACTGTGGGAGCCAGCCCAGTGTGCACTCTCCTGCTGCCACCTGACACTCCTACCTCAACCTCAGAGCCCACTTACAAAAGCCTTCTCTAGGCGCCCACCTGTCATTCCAGCACTGGGGAGGCTGAGGCAGGAGGATTGCTGTGAGCTTGAGGCCAACCTGGGCTACATAGCGAGACCTTGTCTCAAAAAACAAAAAATCCTAAGCTGGGGATTTAGCTCAGTGGTTCCACCACCTGCCTTGCAAGTGCAAGGTCCTGAGTTCGATCCCCAGTACCAAAAAAAAAAATGTGTTTAAAAAACAAAAAATCCTCAACCAAATCCAAAAGGCCCTCTCTGAAGTACTGCTGGTCCACCATGGCAAAGGCCAAGGCCCTCGCTCCAGGCTCGGCACGTGCTCCTCACACGCAGGCAGGGCAGCCACTCCGATTGGCTCCACTGCAGGTAAAGGTGCAGAGTGCAGCCAGCTCCTAACCCACCAGGGGTCACCAGAAACCCTGTGCCCTGCATCCTGGGGCTGAGTGGGCAGGGAGCAGGCAGCTCGCCACAGGAGCTGGCTTTCTGGAGGCCGCTGCGGAACTGGGACGTCCCTGGGGCCTCAGGGTGGGTTGTGCTGCTGCTACTCTGACTCCCTGGCTGAGGCCAGGAGAGCGTCCTGGCCACAGCTCTCTGCAGCCAGGGGCCCCTGGACACATAGCTGAGACCCACAAAGCCTCAAACACCACATCCAGGAGCTGAGGCACAGGGCAGCACCTGCCCAGCCCCACAGCAGACAGGAGCAAAACCCCCACTCCAGCCCCAGCTCCACCCAGCTGCCAGGAGATGGAAGCCACCAACACAGCTGCACCAGGGTGGCCCACAGGGGTCCCAGGCTCCGTGTGAGCCTCAAACCTCAGGACACCTGGCAGGCCAGAAAGGCTACCCCTGGACGCCAGCCTCCCCCAGCGCCTCAGGCCAGCACCCTGACAGCCCTATGGGCCTGCAGGTGTGAAGGTTTGAGTGACCTTGCGGTGTCCCACGAGGCCACCAGCAGTGGCAGTGGGAGCGTGGGCAGGGCAGGCCGCACTGTGCTCTGGCCACTGTGGTGCCACTGAACAGTCCCGGCTGGCTGTCCTCAACTGCCCTCTGCCAAGGTCACCTCCCTGGGCCCCACCCTGACGGCGCAGGTGGCTCTGCTCCTTCTGGGAGCCAGGCACACAGCAGACAGCTCAGTAACTCTGCCCAAGTGGCCCCGGGGTGCCACACAATCTGCACCTGTGCTGGTCCCGTGGGACCTGAGCAGCCCACCCAGGAGCAGGGTCATCCGGCCACTATCCTGAGAGCAGTCCCACGGCCATCAGGGCCTTGGTGCCGGACCCCTTTATGTACAGAGGCCATCACACAGCTCTGTATGGACAAGCCACCCCCGCCATGCACATAGGCCCCGGGGAGGGGAAAGAACACTCTGGAAGGAATGGAGTGTGCTCGCCCTCAGGGTGGGGATGTCCCTGGGGTTAAGGCCACCATCCATCAGGTCCCAGCCGCAGGGTCTAGCAGCCTCAGCGAAGACTCCTCACACCGTGGCAGGGAGGGGACAGGCGAGGTCTGATGGGAGCGCCTCACACTGTGAGAGCTGCGGGGCTAGATCAGAAGAGAACACAGAGCAAGATGTGCACCCCACAGCAACTGTGCCACCTGTGGGGACATCCCAAGGGAGAGCGGCCAAGCTACAGAGCAGGGCTTGATCAAAATGCGGACCAGGAATCAGGCATGGTGCTGCTTGGCTGTGAGCCCAGAACTCTCGCAGACTGAGGCGGGAAGATCACAAGTTCAAGCCCAGGATGGACCCTGTCTCCAAACATCAAAAACAAAATCTCAAAGAAAAAGATCCACTACAATTTATTTAAAAAGCAGCTCCTGGATGGCACAGTGGTGGTGTTCTGACACTGGAATACAGCAGGAGGAGGGAAGCAGTTCCCAGGAACCCAGGAAGGATCTGAGGCAAGAATTGAAGTCTACAGGAAGAGTGGAGAGACTTTAACGAGAGGAGGGAGGTGCCAAGCAGCCCTCTCTCCCAGAGCCTGGACTCTTCTCCAGGGAATGGCAGATGCAGTGACTGCAGACGACCCCACCCAGAGGCCTCCACAAGAAACACACCAGTGGAACACAGCAGTGGACAAACCGGACTGCAGCACCTGGTGAGTTATTCGGGTTCAGACCTCACCCAGGAGGGGGTGACTGGCTGACAGCCATCTTGGAGAGGGGCCAACTGAGCCCTGAACTCAGAACCACTTCGGGAAGACTCCATCTACTGGCTCCAGGTACCTGGGTGCGGGTGCTGAGTTCAAGTCAGCAGGTCTGGGAGTGGAGTTCAAGCAGGCAGGAGACACATAGACTGTTATAAGTTCCAAGAATCTGGTTCCAGCCTCATAGCCAGAAACTGGCCTGAGCTTGAGAGGAATTAAAGGGGCAGGCTGGCTGGGATTATCGATTACCCCACTGGGAAGCTGCAGCTAGCTTGCTGGGATTATTCAGTTTGGCTCTGGACTCTGTTTGCCCACATTGCCTAAAAGTGACTGCAGAGAGACACCTTGAATTGGACTTTTTTGGGTTTTTAACCTTTTTTCTTTTTTTCTCCTTTCTGGATCTTGTTTTGTTTAGTTTTTTACATGACTGTTTGAACACAGTTTCTAGTTTTTTGCTGTTGTTCTGTTCTGTTGTTTCTATTTTTTTCCCTCCAGTTTCCCACCTGTCCTCTTCACCAGTTTCCTAAAGTTTGTCCTCCAGCCTTGCTTCTGATCTCTTCCTCCTCTTCTTTTTTTTTAGTACCGAACAAACTCTGGACCTCGCACTTTTGAAGTAGGCTGCAGAACCACTGAGCTAAATCCCCGGCCCAGCCCTCTTCTTCTATTTTTAACCGCAACCCCTTTTAAATCTTCTCCCCTAATTTGTCATTTTCTAGGCTGTATTTGATGCTATTGTTATTGTTGATTGCACTACTTTAGCCAAGGTGACATAATTGTGCTAATCAGTTGTTGCTCCTGGTATACCAAGACTGAGATTGCCTAAGGGGGAAAAAAAAATTATAGGTCAGTGCCAAAGAACTGGCAGCTGGGCCAAATAGGCAGAAACTTTTCATTCCCAATAAATCAAAGAGGTAGGATCCTGCAACAGACTCACAACTCAAAAGCCAGCTACACCTGGAAGACACTTCTGAGAAGTAGTCATCTCCTAAAGGTTCTGAACACTGGCAATAAAGCTACTCACTATAAGCAATTTACAAGCATCAACTCAGGAATCAAACTTAAAAAAAAAGAGAAAATGAGAAGACACTTAAATAAGATGCAATCCCCACAGATCTTCAGCTTACCAAAGGCAAGCCCTGAAGGCAATGAAGTAGAACAATACAAAAGCCACCTACCTGGACTCTCTGAAGTGGTAACACCAGAAGTAACAAAGCAAATGATCAAGGCTCTAGAAAAAGTCAAAGCAGAAATAATTTCCCAGGTAACTACAGATATGGTGACCAGAACAAAAGATACAGATAAAAAAGAGGAGCTGAGGAACATGATGGAAACCATGAATGCCCAGCATAGGAAAAAACTGGAATCCATGAAACAGATTTAGATATCCAGGAGATTAAAAACTCCACTGAAAGTATATGCAGCAGAATGAGCTAATATGAGGACAGAATATCAGATATAGAAAACAGGATAGGGCCAGGTAGCTCAGTGGTTCCAGTGCCTGCCTTGCAAGCGCAAGGTCCCAAGTTCGATCCCTGGTACCAAAAGAAAACAAAACAGGATTGTAGTCAGTGATCAGGAAAAGAGAGATATCTTAAAAATAGCAGGGGGTGTGGGGTGTGTGTGCAGCGCTGGGCATTTAGCTCAGTGGTGCCACCACCTGCCTCGAAAATGCAAGGTCCTGAGTTTGATCCCCGGTACCAAAAAACAAAAACAAACAAACAAAAAAATAGCAAGGGACCATGAGAAATCAATCCAGCAGCTCTTAGATGATGCAAAGAAGAATAACGTAAGATTGATCAGTCAATGAAAAAGCAGGAGATAGCACAAATGATATAAAAAACCTATTCTCAGAAGTAATGGTAGAAAATTTCCCAAATAGGGAAAATGAATTTGATATACAGTTAAGTGGGGCATATATCCAACTAGCCCTGATTAAAAAAAAAAATCTTAAAAAAAAAATCTTCCCCAAGGCATTTAATAGTCAAGATTCCAAAAAAAAAAAAAAAAAAGATACCAGAAATTCAATACAAGGACAGAATATTAAAAGCTGTAAGAGAAAAGAAACCAATCACTTATATAAAGAAAAGCCCATTAGAATCACAGCAGACTTCTCAACACAAACTCTCAAGTCCAGGAGAGCTTGGAGTGAAATATTTCAACCCCTAAAGGAAAACAACCTCCAACCCAGATTGATGTACCCTGCAAAACTATCCTTCAAAATTAATGGAGAAATAAGATACTTTCATGACAAAGAGCACCTGAAGAGATCCATGAGCACCAAACTAGCATTCCTAAGTGTTCTGAAGGACATTCAAGAAAGAAACAACAAGGATTACAACTCCATATACCCCAACAGAATGAATCCATCAGGCAAGGCAAGAAAGTAAACAGAGCACAAGGACCCAAGTTCGATC